GGTCGATTTTGCTTTTATGTGCGTGACCCTGTTTGTTTATGGAACGCTGTGGTTTCACGGCAGCACAACCGTAATTGACAGAAGTTGATTTACAGATAATCCTTGGCTCTGCTTCCAGTGTTGGACCTCGTGGGGAGTGTCTTTGGCTGTCAGCCTCACATGTCCTTGAGTCAAAGCTCCATGCTGTCCTTGACACACACACCTCTCTCCCCATCGCTCTTCTCACTCCCTCTGTATTGCCATATTTGAAAAACCTTTATGCCCCGATAACGCCTCGCTGCGGATGTGATTTTATTTTGCTGACAGGACACAGATATGATTACATACGGGGCAAAATGTGATTTTCTCTGGGGTGCTGTAATTAAATTTAGCAGTGCCATACAGTTTAGACACAGCTGGTTGAAACAACAATTTATTTAAATTACATTTGTACCTAATTTAATGCGGTGTTATTGCTCATGGAGCCTAAATGCAGATCAATTATTACCAAATTGACTGAATTAGAACTTAAAGATGAATTTTCCCAAATGTAATTCAGTGATACAATTAAGCTTTTATTGTTTCTTGTGTTAATTATGCAGATCAGTGTTTGTACGATGAAATGTAAGAATCTATGTCATGTGTGGATCATGACTAAGGTAAATTCTTTGTATTTTTAAACCTGTATTTAAATCTAAAATTGTCATCTTTCTGTATCTTATCTATAATAACTACGTCGCCACTGGACATCAGTATTAATGAGCAGGCTTTCAGAAACCATCTATATTCTCATCATCATCGTCTCCCTCCAGACGGTGACAGGCTATAATGAGGTCTCCGAAACTGTATTATAATTGCTATACAAAAATCATAAGTACCGTTACTTCCCTTTCCTAATCATATCATTTGTGAACACAAATATAAAAGAGACGTCAGACAGCTGAATTCCTGTAGACTGAGAGGCCAGCCATGTAAACCAGTACACCCTCTTTCCTAAGTATTTTTTTTTCCTCTTTCTGCTTCAATTGAATTCAGGTCTCCAGCAGCCCTTTTACCTCTGTGTCCATTAGCACACTACGAGTCTTTCCGCTCGGCTTCCCTTGTGTAGATGGTGGCACGGGAAGCTGCAGGAGGTTTGTGACTTAGGAAAGAAGGACGAGGAAGACGGTGAGGTCAAATGTGTGGAAAAAAAAGAGTTAAAAATAGTAAAGTCTGGGTCAGATGAAGGGTTGATGGGGGGGAAAAAAATAAAAAAAAGGTGGTGGATAGGAAAGGTGGAATTTGTGCAGGGGAGGGAGGTGATGAAAGCTCCTGGGAACCGCCTTGCTCTGGCAGGCTAATTGAAGCTCTGTGTGGCAGCAGACTCAGAGCTGTCACTCCAATGAAGAGCACATTTGCTGCATTTTGTGTGCTGTGCGCTGAATTCTGATGATGCTACAGAAAGGCCCAGACCACAGACCGACGCCGTGTCACCGAGACCCCCCTCTGCCGCACAGCACACGTCCCCTTGGCAGCTCTCCACAGATTATATGTAACAGGGTCAGAGGCATTCCGAACACGAGCAAAGCACAACATGCGAATATGAATTATTGAGGATTTTGTAAATTTGTCGAGCAATCTCATACATGATAATGTGATATTAGACTCTGCTGGAAGTGTTTTCACTTGTACAGGTTTTCCCTTGTTGGATTAGAAGAGATTATGTCTTCTCGCAGAGCACATAGCTGCAAGCAGCCAGTGAATTATTCATCGTGAATTAAAGCAGTCATTTAAGCTAAATATTTATCTAAAAACTGAACAGAGTAGGATTTTATATGGTAAGCTGCAGCACAGATATCCATGCACGTGGTTATTAGAGGACCATTTGTTATTATATGAGTATAAAATTGAATTTAATTACCTGTTAATTTTTGAAGGCTGCCATTGACATTGTCCGTACACGTTTAAATAAAGATTTTATCAAGAACTGCTGAGCACTATTAATCATTTTATCATCTCAGGCATCTTCATTGCATTGCAGCTGTTTTGTTAAGGTTGTCTGTGCACAGTGCAATTCATTTCCTGCTGAAAACAAAAGCCAAAGTGCAGAACACTTTGCTTAAAGTGCTGCATTACTGTCAAGTTTAAGAGCTCTATTGTTTGGCCTACCTCCCATATGTATTCAACAGGATATACACTAAGTATATATACAGATATAGTAAGTGAGTGACTGAGTGCTTTTGGCAGTGCACACACTTTTATCTCATGGTAGCTCATGGCCCCACCGTTTTAATTTAGCCCACATCAGATCTTGTGTCTTCAATGATTGTCTATCGCAGCCTTCACCGATAATGAGCTGCCTGAGCAGGAGAGTTATTGATCCACTGCTATCGATGGCTTCGCCTACATTTGCATATAAATATGTGAACATACACACTTTAGTCATCTGGTTACACTTTATTTACAACACATTACCTGCAAAACAAGCTTGAAAGAAGCACATGCACCAATATTCAGTTACTTTGAGTGACTGTGAGTTGATGTGACATTTATGAGTAAAATGTCAGCTGTTTATATTTTGTCTCTTTCATGAAAAAAGTATGTATCTCCTTAATGTCAACTTCTCACAAGCTAGTAAAACACATTTTGGTTTGTAACAAACACATAATCAGATGTGAACAGTTAGTTTAATCTTAGAAGTAGGACGATTTTTCATTGATCAACAGTTGCAGTTTGTTTATCTTTGTTTTGTTGATCAAAAATAAATCCTATTATTGTTTGTGTCAATCATTTTACAATCTAAATTCCTCTCCTCTTTTGTTGAAATGAAATATTACTTTTACACAGTTTTAGTGATCAGACCCAATAGACTGAATAAATAAAACTGGTAATAAATGCTCCGAGGGTGCCACAGGTGCTGCACAGCACGTAACTTAGAAATAATTAGTGAGTCCCCATCAATCTGTTTATCCAGGCTGAGACAGAATTCATCAGGGGGCTGGTATTTACTGAGCAGGAACCTCCCTTTGATTTGTATTGATCGTTACACGCTGCTCCCTGGCATAAATACAAGGTTTGATATTGTTTTTATAATGCTGTAATACAAAAGAGCAAAGGTGGCATTTAAAGTGAAGTGAAATAGTCTTACAAAAAAACACAACTTGTTCCTGCATTCAGCAGTTTTCTAAAGCGAATGTTTAGCAGTAATAATACAGACATCATCCTCAAAATACACTTATACCAAAAGGTAAAAAGACTTATTGTCCAGAATGCCCTTTACAGAATATTATTATCATATTGGAGTGTTACTGATACCTTCACGTGTGAACATCATTTCAATGCTGCAGCTGACAACAGTTGAGCTATTTTTTAGTGTATATGCTGTTTTGTAGCTACAATAAAACATCATAGTTTTGTTTATGATATAATACTCTGCAGCACACTGATCCGTTGTTTACGTGAAAGTCAAAAGCTGCAGTTGTTCTATGATTTGAACATGCAGCCTGTTTTGTTTTGGAGAAAACGTAGTTTGTTAAAGGGAAAGTCAAGATCTTTACTTGTTATTGGCGCCTTTAAATATATATTTTTTGTAAAGCTGTGACGTCTACAGAACATACATTAATACATAGAATGTATATCTGAAATGAGGAATTTGGACTAGTAAATATAGTAGAGTAAATGTAGTAGAGTAAAAAGTATGACATTTCCCTTTAAAAAGTAGTGAAGCTGAAAATAACCTGCATGCAAGTGCCTCAGAATTGCATTTCATTACTGATGCAAATAGATTATATAACTGTGAGCTCTGTTTGAATCTGAAACATGATATCACAGCATTTTTTGCACAACAGGAATCTCTCTCTCTCTCTCTCTCTCTCTCTCTCTCTGGCCGGGAAAGTTGCCAAGGTTTGTGTTGTGGTTACAGGCTGATTGATGTCAAAGCTCCAACTTTCACAGCCACCATCAGTGATTATTCTGAGGAAGACTCTGTCTGTTGGATGAAGGCTTCAAAAAGAACAAAATCACTCAGCTCTTCTGCAGCTGTAAAGGTAGGCTCTGACTGCGGAGGTATGTGTGTCGGAGGGAGAGTCAGTAGGAAGATAATGGCTCTAATGTCATTTCTTTAACTTTGTGCTGCCTGGCAACCGTCACTATTAAAGTGTACATTGTCTATGCGAACGCTCGTACGTGAAGGACTTCAGGGCTGTTGACTGAGAGCTCTCCTGTTTAAGAGTGGGTTGTGTATGCAAAGTGATGTAACAGCATTTATATTCAAGAGATGAAGAGGTAGAATCGGCCGACCACACAGCACAGTGAGCACCGGGAGGTCGTAGCTACAATACGCTTTGATAAAAGCTTTCATAGCTGTTTGATTTAATGCTACCATTGCAGAAGTCATGAAGTCCTCTTAAAGTGTCATGCAAACTCACTTAGCATTTCTTTTGTACAACAAGCAGTCAACATTTGGCTTGCTTGTGTTTTCTTGGAATTAGGTTGGAGTCCCACAGGCCCCACTGTGGTATAACAGTAATGATAAGTCCAAAAAAAACACTTCCAACCTGATTAGAATCCAGTCTGTAGGAAGGGTTGGAAGTGATAACGATTCTCCTCGCCATGAGCTGGCCTTTGACCATTGATGAAGATGCTGTTAGATGTGTGGAGTCAATCTTATGAGCCCTCTTATGAGCAAAACCTAAATGAGATAAATCCAGTAGAATAATTTAAGGATTTAGGAGGGACAGTGGGAAAAATTCACACCAATTATAAATAGAGAGAACATCCATTTTCTTTAACCATGTTCTACAACTGACCTTTATAGCATGTTGTTGGTTCAAAATCATGTTTATAAGCAATTTTCAATATATATTTTTTAAAGTACTAAGGTACCATATGTAAGCTTCTTGTGTGGTTAAAGAGATCCAGACAGAACACCAGCATGTTTGCTTGATACCTGTTCAGATTTTAAAATGAGCTGTTTCTGAGATCAGTTCGAGCTCAGCATGGAAATAGAGTTTGTCAGTGGAAAAACAATCTGCGCTTTACAGCTTCAGAAGGATGTATACAATCTCCCGTCCCACGATGCCCTGGCACAGATCCTCCCAGATTACCGGTCGCTCCTCAGCAGAGCGAGGACGGAGCTTCAGAGCACGGCTCAGCACGAACAGGAGACGCCAGCTGAGAGGGCAGAAGCTGCACAGGGCAGCAAACCCAACATAAACTACACATATCAAGTGCATCATCCACACAGGCGGTACGGTGCACACATACAAACAAGAAACATGCATCTATTGCCAATGAATTCACATCAGACTGTAACATTGTTTTCAAACGTGTTCCCGCTTCAGGCCTCCTCTGCATGACTTTGAGGACGATCACAACATGGCAGAGATCACCGACCTCCAAGCTAAGGTGAATGGACATGATCGATGCCTTAACTGTTCAATCAATCAGTGAGGCAATCCGCAGTGTCACGTTTAGTTAGCGAGCAGTGACATTAGGGGGGCCAAGCAGTGACAAGAGGCTCCAGCAGGCTCAAGCAGACACACACAGTTTGAAGACAAAATGGCGGCCAGCGGAATAGATTAACATTTCTCAGTGTGATTGCACTCGAGGAGGATCGAGCTGATGAGGCTGAAACTTGGTCTGAGGGTGTCATTTATGCATATCTTGACATTTTCTTCCATTTGTGAGATTGTTTTAGAATTTCATTCATCTTCAGACTGTTATGTCTGTGGATTGGCTGAAATGCTTTATGTTTGTGCATGTAGATTTTAAGCCATTATTAGATGGAAATGAAGAGATCTGGGTATCAGCTAGATGATTTCACGATGGCAGTGCATACATTAGAGGTTAATAAAAATGTACATGCACAGTAATAATGATGAGGGCTTCAAAAAACATGATTGAATATCACATCCTCACACACTCAGTCCTGCTTTCTACTATCTGTCGTCCTGGAGAGACTCTATGTCTGACAGCAAGCCCACTTTCCTGTCTCCAAATTCATGCAGATGGGAGCGAACCTCTGGCATTCACACAGGCAGAAACAGGGACTCCCCTTTTATTTTTGACACATAAAAGGACTTTCCAGGCTCATCACGGGGAGCCGTCCTTCCCATCACGCCTGTGGGCCCCCCAGCAGAGACACCATCTCATCTACAGTCATGATTGTCACCTCGTCCCTGCCCTTTCAATTAGATGCTCAATTTCACCCCCGTGTCCCGTGGGAGCCACAACCACACCATCCAAGATTGGAATCCCCTAATCGTCACCTCCCTCATACACGCAGCTGGACCGAGCTCTTATGGTCCCCTTTCAGTTCTGTCTATTCAACTTGATAGAGGAGCGTGTGACAGGAGCAAGGGAACAATGAGCGCATACATGCTGCCAGACAACACGCACACGCCTTTTAGAGAGAAATGTCTTGATAGCAGACGTCTGCAATCACACGGCTCCTGGATGCAGCTCTGACTAGACACTGGGGAACTTTGCATCTTAGAAAAAAGAGACAGAGCAAGAAACTGAAAAGAAAATAGTACAAGAGGTTGAGAATATTTTTGTAAAACTCCTTTTTTTTTTGGTCTGCTTTGCTGGGATGCTATATTTAGTCAGATTTTTGCCTCTACATTGCAGCAAATGGGCTTTCCCAGTGGGCCGCTAGGTGAACGCACAACTGGGACTCATCCAAATTCCCTGGTTAAACCTCCCACAACAAAAGACCTTTACAAGACAAGCTGTTTTGTCTGTTCGAATCATGAAGAGTCGGAGCCATGAATGCATCATGCTCAAACTGTAAACAATCAATTACAGGAGCATCCCACATGTATGGGACAATGCTCCTGCTTTGGCTTCCAGTTATTTCCCATGCCTCATGCTATGTGCTTATCAGAAACCAAGAGAAATCAATTATCAAGACGCCGAGCCTTGTGAACACATGTTCATGCAATATGTATTTGCTGCTGGGATGTTTTGAAATTCTCTCAATAAACAGTAATGTCCTGCGTCCACCAGGACTCTATTCAGAGATGGGGTTGAGGGGACATCTAGTGGTGGTGATATGTAGACCCACTTGCTATTAAATCATCCTATCATTCTGCTTGGTTTGGTGTTTGAAGCCTTGTGACACTGACGCACAAATAAGTAACTAGCAGATAAAAGACACCAGCTGTTGTTTGTGGATCTTTGATGGCAAGTTAAATTGAGGTATTCCAGCAAGTTTTAATCTGCTTTGAACTTCATATTAACTCTGATCATGATGTTCAAACCACCACTGTGAGCACTATGAAGAATTGTCCAAAGCAAGGTACCAATGACGCACAATCCAAGTCACAAGTCAGGGCTAGAAAGACAACTAACTGTTGAAATATCCCCCATCAAACCTCTAGTGTGACGCTCACAGGCGACATTTCTCCATCAGGAGGTGGCAAACTATCGTTCAGCCATGACTAGGATGGCAGACGACATGATAACGCTGAGGACACAGGTGGGGACGTTGGAGGCAGAAAACAGCCAGCTCCGCAGTGATCTCCGTCTGCACCAGGACCTTGGTCGGGATCTGCTGGCTGACACTGACGTCGATGTCATGACCAAGGCTGAGATCGCTGACCGGATAGGTAAACCACAGCAGAACCAGTTAGTCTACAACAAGCCTGAAGCCAAATTATGTTAAAGTAAAGCCTAAAAAGTTGTGATCAAGTGCAGACAAATGTGCTGACTCACTGATGCCAGACTCTCTACTATCCAGCCGGCTCCCTCTGTGCTGTCCCCCTCCTAAGGTCATTTCATTGGCAGATGAAACCATGATGTAGAAGGTGGCTCACTGTGTGTTTGCTAATCCTTGTGAGTGTCTATTCCCAAGCAGACTGTGCTGTTTTGTGATAAGGCAGCTCATTTAGGCCAGGGATCCTGATAAGCTCTGTGGGTACTACAACCCTTATCTCCTGAAGGACAGTTTGTGACCCTCAGTGCGAGGATGTTCCCGAAGGTCTCTCTGCTGGCATCAAAGCAAAGGGACTAGATTTAAGTTCTGTCCCACAGAAAATGTATTCAATTTCAAAAGCTTTAGTGATGGATCTTTTAAACATTACTGTTCCAGTGTCCACGCCTCAACAGCGACATGTTAATCATTCTAAATTTTACAAATCAGTAAAAGGTGATGGATCCAACTCTAACTCACATTTTAGATATGATTTGCTGTTGGCTTCTTTTTCCACATTTAACAGGCAGTTTAAAGGCAAAAAAGTTTATATCTTATGTGTACAAAAATCTACACAAAGGACAAAAACCTGCAGGGAAAAAAATGTGCTGCTACCTGGATTTGTGCTGACTGTTCTGTTCTTTTGAAGCTACTCTGAAAGTCAAGCTGGCCAGTGAAACCAGTAAGACCGCCTCGCAAAGGGACAAGATCCAGCAGCTGCAGAATGAGCTGATCAGGGTTGGAAAAAACAAAAAGCAAATATGCGTTATACATATGAAATTGAAAAAATTCAGGCCATTGTTTATGTCCTGCTTATATAATATCTATCTTGCCATGTGTGCAGAAGAACGACAGTGAGAAGGAGCTGCTAAAGCTTCAGAAAGTCCAACAGGAGGATCTGCAGAATCACCAGACTCACCTGGCAAAGATGGCAACTTTAGAGGTCACAGTAAAGCAGCAGGAAAAAGTGAGCAAACAGCGGGACTATCTGTTCTACATACATTTTAAAACTGTGAATGCTTCTTTCTGTAATGTGTACAGTTGGATAATATCCTTTGTAATTGTCCTTATTTTTAGGTCATAGAGAAGATGGAGAAAGCTTTAGATAGCAAACTTAAAGAGAAGAGAAGACAAAGCGATGACAAAAAGCTGCTGCTAAAAGTGCAAAGAGGTAAGTAGACTCAGTGAATCATGTATAATCGCAAAAAATGCCCACATGGACTGGAACATCAGCCCTCTTTCATTGCCGAGTAGATGAGGCTGATCGCAAAAAGGAAGAGTCGGCCTTGGCGGCGGAGAACCTCCGTCTCAGAAAAGAGCTGGACAGGATTCGCCAGCCGCCTGCTCCAGTCATTATACAGCAGTCAGCACAGGTACTCCTTAAAAACTCGCATGAAAATGCTCAATTACAGGTAAAAGTAAAAAGTTCAGATACACAGAAATCTTCAGTTTTTAGACCTTTCTTCTCCTCTTTGATTGCTAGAGGAATGTTAGATCATTTGAACAGTTACTGAGAGGGAAAATTACAATTTGGTGGAGCTGTTAGCAACTCATAGATGTCTGAAATATGATCCTGACTACACACTGCTTTTTGTAAGACATCAAAAGCCCAAAAGGTTGGAAACCACTGATTTAATCTTTAACAATGTTTTGTATTTTAAACGCCTGTTTGTGTAAAATCGTTGTATTAAAATGTATTAAAGCTGTTAGATAATTGTAGTGGAGTAGAAAGTTCAACATTTGTCTCTAAAATGTTGTAGAGTGTAAGAAGAAAGAGCATAAA